GGATCTGACTAAAGGTTAATCTTGTTCTGTTACCTAGTTTCTGATAATTTAGATGTGTCTTTAACTTCTGGTTAGCGTCTGATTCTTCATAAGAATAAGAACTGCTGCAGGAGAGTTTTTACACTCTAATCAATAGCTAGAGAGAATTTATTTCAACCTTGAAGCCAAGGGTTTAGTTTTGTTTCAGAATTGTTACCACAGTTCTGGAATTTATTGATAAACATATACCTATTTAGTCACTTCTGCATTTGTGGCAATGGTTCTGTAGCTCAAAACTGGATAAAAGTGTTCTCTTTCGGAGAGTTGAACTGCCACACTTTTTTTTTTTTTTTTTTTTTTTTTTTTAAATGAGAACAGAACTTTTCCAATTTATTTCATTTTGCCACTAATTACCTGGTACTGATTTGTTACTATCTCTCTGATTCATTTTTCTTTTTGAACTAATAACCAACTTCCCAGTCCTCTGTCACAGGAAGGATTATTCTGCTTGCCTTTCACTATTCTAGAGCAGTCCATGCAGTGATTTGTTTTGAAGTTTTAACATTCTTTGTGCTGTTTATAGTCTTACTACAATACGTTTATGTTTTTCTGTAGGGTCATTCTCTTCTTGGGCCTTTGGCTACTTTTAATAAGGAGCAATGCAAACACTTTACAAATAAAACTATCTTCTGAAAACCTCACTGTGTTCATCTGATGTCCATGACGTAAATGCTGCTAAGAAGCTAAAATTAATTTTAGAAGTGGTTTAAGTGAAAATAATTAATTGCATTTATTTTGACACAGGTATGAAAACTCAATGGGGTCATCCAAAAATGTAATAAGTGAGCCTGTTGATGTGGAGGAAGGCTACAACATGATGGTAAGACATTCAGCTGTTATAACAGTGTGGTAGGATTTTTCCTACTGCAGGAAAAACTAGATTTTCATGTTGGGATTCATAGATAATTGGTTTATTTGTGCTTTCTACTGAAAGTATTGGTTCTAGAAATGGAACCAACTTGTTAGCACCATGAGGAGAAACTTTCGAAAATTGATTTTACTGTAGATGAAATTTGAGTATTCTGTTTCTGCGTCATTTCTAGTTGTGTTAGTATATAGACTTTTTGCACTTTAAGGCATTTGTTTCAGCTGATTCCCATTTTAAACTGCTTTCATCCCGCTTGTACTCTAGTGTAAGACCATAATATTTGGTTACACTAACAGAATTATGTTCTTTGAAGTAGCTGAGGTTAGAGCTGAAGTAATTTTCTTTCAGAATGCAAGAGATGAAACTGTTGGTTTTGTTTCCAGCAATGTATTTATATATATGAACACCATTGAAACAAGAATCTTTGTAGAAGGTCTTTTGATATTCATAGCCCTGCAAAGATGAAACTGTTGGTTTTGTTTCCAGCAATGTATTTATATATATGAACACCATTGAAACAAGAATCTTTAAGGTCTTTTGATATTCATAGTCCTGCAAAGAAGCAGTACAGACTTAACAAAAGTCTGCTGTTTAAGGCTAAACAAGCTTGTAGTCACTCCCTTTGCCTAGCAGATGATTATATCTACAGAACTTTGAAGAAGGTAACTTCTTTGGATAGTTAAGTAGCAAACAGGAGGGATTCAGGTTGAGGAAGCTGTCAAAAACTTCGGAATCAGTATCACTTCACTCATATGAAGGAGGATATTAAAGCTTGCTCTTGTCTAGTCAAATGGAAAGACTATGTTGATACCCATTATGGTCTTTGGCACAAGAGTTTACACTTCTCTGTGGCTATACACTTCATTATTGCTAACTGTCATGTTAAGATGTCCTTTAAGGGTTTGCTGTTTTCTTTTGACAGACATCTAACTTATGGAGAATAGAATTTTAGGTCAGGCTCTAGTTTCATGATACAAAGTACTTCGAAATGTCATGCTGAAATACTTTTGGAGGCTCTAGTTTCATGATACAAAGTACTTCAAAATTTCATGCTGAAATACTTTTGTTTTCCTTATAAGCTTTTCTGGCTTGTAAGAAATAGGTAAAATAATTTTAAAAGCCAGTTTGGTGTGGACTAGTGCAAAGTTTTACACTTTACATGGGAGTAATGATCTCCAGAAATAAGGATGAAAAACAATGGTCTTGGCAGCAGTTGTGCAGAAAGTAACTTGGGATTCTAGAAGGTTGTGTGTGCAACAAGAGGAATTCTGCTTATATATTAGGAAGAGTGGGGTCTGCCCTGACCACTGGACAGGGACTTAGGGTTTGGACTAGACCTGCAGAAGTCCTTTCCAGGCTTTGTTATTCTGTGAGTATGTAAGTCGTGCTAATTTATGTGTGATATGTTATGACATACACATTATATCATAAGTGATGAAAATGTAATATGTTGCAAAAAAACCCTATACATCTTTTTGAGATGGTTCAATGAGAGTATCATCTGTAAGATGTGAATAACCTGTCCGTGGTGTTTAGCGTGGAGAAAGTCATCACTGAAGTATTCGTATCTGCTTTTGGACGTTGTATTTCAAAGACAGATGTGAATCAGTTGGAGACAGTCTGGAAGAGAAAACTCTTCAGTGTTCAGATTCAGAAAACTTGAAATCTGAGATCTGATAAATATGAGAAAAAAAGATTAAAGGAACAGGGATGGTAAGCCCAGAAGATAAGAAGACCAATGGAGGATGAAATGGAATATAACAGCATAAAAAATAACAGGAAAGAAAAAAATTAAATTTTCCAAGTTCTCTGTGTGTGGCAAGAGTGAGTGGACTTACGCTGTAGGAAAGCCATAGTTAAATATAATGTAGGTTGTGCCAAGTCAACACTGTCTGCTTGTGGAGAATTTAAAAGAAAAGATGCAATAAATGAGGAAAGATTTATTTGTTTACTTATTTCATTTTTGGCAGTTGGGGATGCCATAGATTAGCTTTACGTCCAGCTAAAATGAGCGTTTGGGTCTTTTTTGAAGATCTGAGAAGAAGTTAATGCAAAATGCAGTCTGAACATTCTTTTGGTTTAAGACGGGCACAATTCAGAGGTGATTAAGTTAAAATTATTTGACTCCATTCTGAAGTAGGCTACCACAAGTATTTAAATTGGGAATTTATACAGTAGGTTAAAGTGATTTTAAAACAGTTATGTGACATTCATGGATCTTTAAGTCTTAGATTGATGGTGGAAAGTGTATCACTAAGCAGCAGTGGATTAAGAACCCAGACTAAACTTCTGATTCAGCAGAAATGGTCACTCTTACTAAAAATTCTAATCGAGAATAGTTAATTGTATAGAATAAGGATAGACTAGAACCAGTTTAGCACAGATCCTGTTTTTTCATGTGCTTTGTTTGGGTTTCTTTGGGTGAAAAGGTATAATTTGCTTTATTTATTTAATTAGATCTTCCAAAAGGTCACTTATAGAGCAGTGCTGGTTTTGTTTTTGTTCTGTTACGTGGTGATATCTCTAGGTAGGTCTGTGGAGCACTAGAGGGCACACTGCAGCCTTGAAACAAGCAATTGGGGACATCTGGATGAGAGAAACCTCAGTTAAATATTATTATACAAGCATTTAAGTAAAAGCAGTTTCTCATTTGTGGTGTGTTTTCTACCACCTTAATAAATTATAGCCACTCATCTGCTATATTTGTTTTTACTGTATTTTCTTTCTAAAGATGTACTAGTACTCTAAAACAGAGTGGTTGCAGGCTTGAGTCATATGATGATAATAACAAAAAGAGGAAAAATGCATCTTCTGATTAGTGCTATAGAAGATCAGTCTGTTCATGCGTAAAATAATGTTTAGATTTATGTAACTTCCTTGTGGTTAAGTTTGTCAGTGTTTAAAGATAACTTGGTCAGCAATTTTGTGCTATCATAATACATAGATTTAGCATTATAATGTATATCTTGTAATTGTTTCAAATTATTTTTTGAGGAATAACAGTGTAGAAGAGGCAAGATTTTATCTAGAATAGAATAGACTCTTTCAGTTGGAAGGGACCTGCAAAGATCATCTAGTCCAATCTGATTGACATCTGTCAGTTGATACAATTATTTCTTAATATATTTGGTTTCAAAGGTCTTTCAATGGTGTATTTTGCTCATGCAAAGAAATATGTTTATTAGGTACATGAAGTTTGTCCTTAGTGTCTCTCATTTTGTCTTTAAACAGCTGTATCTTTCTAACTAACTTTGCCAGGAAATAACTTTATAGGTTCTTGTCCTCTCATTGAAAGAGAGGTATGGTTTTTATACATCTCATTTCTAACTAACTTTGCCAGGAAATAACTTCATAGGTTCTTGTCCTCTCATTGGAAGAGAGGTATGGTTTTTATACATCTCGGATGGTTCTGATAAATCCTCTGCCTTTCTCCATGATCTCTTCAGTCAGCTAACACATACATGTATTTTGTTCTCATGCAGCTTTTATCTTGAATAATTAGTTCTAATTAACACAAGGTAACTAAAACCTTTGTGAAGGCTACTGCGATGCTCTGGCAGCATTGACAATCAGTTAAATGGAGGTTAAAAGTGTGTGGTGTAGACATACCCATACTGAGGCCTGGGCAGTAACTCTCATGCCATGTTGATGAAACAATCTGCTTCTCATGCAGAAAAATGGTTGGTTATGAAAATGAATGTGTACCCCTCCTTCAGATATTTGGTGAGACTTCAATACCTACGCACCCCACTTTGGCTTGTTTAACTGCATATTGGATGAGATTAGCATATCAAACATAAAATTTGTACATGTACATATTTTCCATCCCTGTACTTCTTGTTTTCAGGCTTCTTTCCAACGGTCAAATAGTCATGACAAAGTGAGGAAAATAGTTGCAGAAGAGGGACGTACAGCAAGGAACCTGATTGCTTGGAGTGTTCCACTGGAAAACAAAGAAGATGATGGTATGTATTCCAACAGTCTTCCCCCAGATTTTTCCTCTTTTATTCTTTTGTCCACTGGAGTTGCTTGTATGGAACATATTTCTTACATAGGATTTCTCTATAAAAAAATAAATGGTGATGTTTAGTGTACATAGTATAATTATAAAGCTTTTTTTCAAGAATGCACCCTGCAGATGATAGATCACTTTATAAAACCTTCACAGTGACAGACTAAAAACTGTTTTAATTTGGTCTTTAAGCAATATCTAAGACTGTTCTTTATTATCAAGATACTTCTGTAATACTGTCATGTTATCGTAAAATACTGACTTTCAAAAGGGTGTTAAAAACCCATCTCTTATAACTTGGGAATTCAGAATTGCAGAGATGGCTTAGAACAATCCAGCAAACTGCTCTCTATGCTCTAAAACAAATCAGTTTGGAAGTTTCTTTTGGTTTCACTTCAGTCTTTGGTAAACATTTGTGAAGAGCCTTTAAGGAAGGGGATATAGGGGGACAGTTTTCCATAATGTGAGTCCTCAGAACAGTTTTGTTACTGTTGTAATATTCTCTTGTGGTATGATGACTTGAGGAGCCAGGAATTGAGTTTAATTTTTATACTGTTCAAGCTGTTCCAGATGTCAGAATGCTGTTTTTGAGGACTTCATTTCAAGTATTTTTGTAGCTTGCATGTCCCTGTGGAAGTGCTGCTGCTTTTGAGACTTAGGCAGGAGTATCTAAAAGTAGGTTTTTTTTTTTGTTTGTTTTTTGTTTTTTGTTTTTTTGTTGTTTTTTTTTGTTTTTTTTTTTGACACGGGGGTGGTTGAGCACTGGAAAAAGTTGCTTAGAGAAACTGGGCAATCTTCATCCTTGGACATGCTTGAAGCCTGACTGGACAGGACTCCTTTAGCTGACCCTGCTTTAAGCTGGGAGGTTGGATGAGATCATCTCCAGAGGTTCCTTCCAACCTCAGCTGCTCTGTGATTCTGCCAGTGGAAAAGATATCCCTATGAACAGTTATGTCTAAGTTACAAGATAATTAACCCTATGTCTGAAGCAAACTGAAGAAAAGTTTAAGCTGTCTTTGGGTAGCTTTATACATTAAGGTGTATTTGTGGTTTTGGTTTTTTTTCTTTTTGAAGCTGAAAAGTCTGAAGTGACAGAAGACAATGAGGTGCATGAAAACCTATTTAGATATTTGTATGTGGACACTTACATAGGTTTCATCAAGGAAATTACATTCAGTTCAGAATGCATAGCTGTACCTCTGTTGAACAATGACAAGTAGAATGACAGCTAACTTACATTTATCAGGTAGACATCCTAAACCTAATTACAAATGTCCACATTTACAGGCTTTGGTTTCTTTTACTTCAACATTGTCCCAGCTGTCTTAGTACATTTTGTATAGCAGCAGCAGAAAAATATGTACTGTGAATTTTTGTTAGCTACATGTAGGAAGAGCCAATGGAAATAATTTAAGACGAGCAAAATCTGACCAGTTAGAATTCATACCTCCCAGCTTTGGATTCCATGCAGCAACTACGCAGTTTATTGTGAATATGTGGATTTGTAAGTGGGCCAGTTGTGTGTTCTTACAAGAGCTTTATTTACGTCTGTCTCCAGAAGATATATTTATCTGTTTGCTTTTCTTACAGTTGCCTGCATATTCTTGAATACGTTAGTAGATCCACTGGTATTTTTGGACTAGTCATATATGTCATTTAAGCAGAATTAGAATTGGGACCTAAATTACTTGTAGATTCTGAATTACACTTTTGGGGAAGGTAGTAGTATGAGTGAGTTTATGCAAAAGGAACATAGAAGATATTTCTAAGAGTATTTTTGAGCTACTTGTGAGTTGATTCAATTTCTCTTTAAAGAGTCTGTTATTTTTTAATACTGCCTTTCTTGTAATATTCTTTTAGAAACTTTCAAGTAAGACCTTTTCCTTAAAAATGAGTGAATATGAGTTGTAGATGAATGTTTGCTCCAAGTCTAACATTTTCTGCCAAAACATGAAGAATGAATGTAAAAGTGAATTTTTAGCCTTCATTAAATAGTTCTTATGTATGATAATTAAAATCCAAGTAGCTATATTAATTTCCTTCTTTTGGTCATGTTAGCACCATTGTAATTTTAAAACTTTTTGTCACTGGTGCTTTCTTCTTTTTAAATCAGTCTGACCTTTTTGCACAATACAAAGAATCTGATCATAATGGCCTGATGGAAGATTTCCCTGTGAAAAGGAACTTGTGGCTAATGAAAGTCTGGCAGAGCCAGATCCTTTATCTCTTGACCCTTGTCTTGGCATAGAGGGTATACATGTTGGTGTCAGTGAGCTTTGATTCATTTTATGCTGATCTTTTAGTATGTATTTTGTCCCTGAGGAATGATACAGCAATATTATGAATTAGGACAGTTCTAACTTGTTCAGGGGCTGAGTAAATCAGGCCAAAGGTTCAGGTTGCTTGAGCCAACCCTGCAGGTCTTCTGTAATGTTCAGAGATATTGCTTTGGCAGTAACAGTGGGTGATTTAACATTTTATATTATATACTGTTATTCATTATGAGGTTTTTTTTTCAGCAGAAATAGTGAAGGTGTGGGCATTTGCTGTTATGAGTGGTAGTGTAACAGAGGGTTGATAAATTAAAATACTGAATTAGTTTTTTCAGTTTGTGTCCTTTCTTTTTCTATTTCCTTTAAAAATTGTGTACTTGTATCCTTCTTAGCATTTAACTTTTCCTCTGAGAGACTTGTATATTTTATATAGAAGACGTGGGTAAGAGAGCAATAATGAAAAGAAATGCAATCAAAACATTCTAATTCCTTAATGGATGTATATAGCTCCTGTCATTAAGAAAAATTTCCTTAAAAAGGAGAAAGATTTCAGTGGCAGGTGGCACTTCTCTTACATGTTTTGGAGCAGCATGCACCCTTGTTATGTCAGTCCTGAGATTCTGGTTATGAATATAGATCAATGACATGAGAAAATCCAGAACATGGTGTCGATGGTCCAGAAGAGATAGTGATGGTTAACACATTTCAACTATTGAAATTAAAATACTCCTTCACAGAACTCATTAATATGCAGCAGATTCTGTTGGATAGACTAATTAACAGTACAGCTGACTTTTTGTCCAAGGAGGAAAGTCTTATAACTCTGAAAAATTCGCTAGTCTGATATTCTGTCTCCAGAATTAAATCTGCATTCCAGTCATACCCCTGCTGATCGCCTATATCGCACTTAGATTCTGCCTACCTTGGAAAGCTGTGATCATTCTAGTAGAGGATTTCAGAATTTTTTCTTTTGTAATTATTTTATATGCCTAGCATGAAATTTGAGGCATGGCACGTAGATAAGCACTACACACAAATTTTATTACAAAATCTAACCTATGGTATTAGTAACATCCCAGAAGCTTGACATTTAAATGTTAGTAGAAGGTAAAATACCTTTGGATCTTTAAGAGATGTGTAAAAAAATTGGAAAATCTTGTATTGGTAACGGTTCCCTTGTTATTTCCTATTTGTTTAAAGTCATGTAGGCTCTTACCATAGAGAATTCATCTGTACATTAAGCATTTCAGGGTAAGGAAACGTTTGATTTATTAAAAGGTACCTGGCGCACTTTGGGGGAGCCTGCAGTATAATTTCCTTTAGCAAGAGCCTGATGGAGTAAATGGGTTTTGCAATATGTGTTTAAAGTTATGGAATTTGGCTCTCTTTGGCCAAGTAAGGAAGTTGTAAGAATCATGACTTAAAACATGTGTAAGCCCTAGCGACATTGGATCTGATTGTAACTGGCAGAATATAGCACGAAGGGAAGGGTATTCTTTAAGGCTCATAAGTTTCAAACCTTGAATTTCTCTGAAATTAATGGGAATCCATTCTAGTGCTGGTAGGTGAATACAAGGCCATTATTTTCTGGATGAGACAGCAACAGTGATTTGTAAAAGTAACTTTGTGCAAAATATTTTGCTGTAATTGAATCTGGAGGTTGAAAAGCATGGATAATTTTGGTTATATCCATGCTTGAAGGAAGTCATTTCTCCAGATCGTTAGCATTGTATGGTTAGAAAAATCTTATCCACTACTGCTTTATAAACTTTTCAAAAGATACGGTTTATGGTTCATGGTTGGACTTGATGATCCTTGAGGTCTTTTCCAACCTTAATGATTCTATGATAATAATACTAGAAACTTCAATATGTTTCTTCAGTTAAGGGGTCAAAAATAATCAGTCTCATCTGGTTGCTTACTGCAGGCAGATGCCTCTGCCTTACTTTAGATGAGGTTCAGGCAACCAGATCTTATCCAAACCTCGTTTTTGTGAAGATGTTTCTTAAGATGGACAACTGCACCAGCTGGGCTAATAACATAGATTCTGGAGTACAGACTAGTTGTATATAGCTGTGGCACTATAATGTAGACTTACTGTCTTACAGGTTTTGTAGATAACATGAAAGAAGATAGGTGACAGAGCAGATTTCTCACACTGTATAGGAACTGGAGGAAACCAACAGAGTGCTCATTGAATTTATTAATTCAAGGAGATGAAAAGAAATAGAATTGAAAATTGTTACCGTTCGTGCTGAAGGTCTGAACAGTGTCAAAGGCGCTGGAACAACACATGCAGTTGATCTCTGCCATAGTGAGAACAGAAATGGGGGCTGCTGTTAATTACTAAATTTAAAGGCCATTCCCACATTTCTCATATCAGTAAAACTATCCAAAACAGAGAGATGAGAGGCATGATTCTGGAGATTGCTAGTATAGAAAATAGGTTTTGAAAATAGTTTACCAATGGCTTTTTTTGTAGATAATAGTACCATAGCTTTTTGTGACAGGAAGTCTTCACAAATCATAAAGTCTGTGTGCTTCAGGTTTAGTTACCAGACAGAGAGGAAATGGACTTTAAGTTTAAAATATGACTGTAGCTCCCTGAATGCTGCAAAACTTTGCCACTTTATATATTTCACATTGGCAACTTAATAGTGAACGAGATTATCATCTTTGGTCACTATTATTCTTTCCTTAAAATTCAGTGAATTCCTAGCATGTAATGCCCTTCATATGTCGTTGAGTTCCTGTGCATCTCACAGTAATGCTAGTATCGTATAGTTACATACCAGTAGTCACTGAACATACACGTAACCATTGAGCAGTGCTTTGTGTTGTCACTACTTGTGAATATGAAAGGACAAAAGCAGAAAGGAAGACATCTTCTAATAACCAGAGGCATTTGTTAGAAGAAAAAGACTAACAGAGTTTGGAAATGTGGCTGCTGCTGAAAGAGAAAACTTTTTGGCCCATACACCTTAAGAAAGAATTAGTCCCTACCACACATTATTTTAAGTTTGCAAAACCTGGTATTTACATGTTTAGTTTTGTCTAAGAGTCTGCCTTATATAGAAAGTGCCTGAAAACTTGCTTTTGTCTTTACAGAAGACTTGTTCAGACATTTCTGAGTCCTTAGATGATGGATTAGTATTCTGGTTTTTGTAGAATCTAAAGAGACTGCAACTTTTTTGTGTTCGTCTGCCGTTTTTCAATTTTAACATACCCATATTTGTTTGTAAGCATTTTGACTGTGCCAGTTCTGTATGCCATTGCATTCAAAATCTTGTCTTTGCGGAATTTAAGTCATCTCAGAAGAGAGACTTTGGTGATTATTACATTTACTGTAATTCTGACATGGAACTGATCTGCAGTTTAAGCTTTTTAGTGAATAGAAAGTTTTTATACATACGGTAGTTGAATCAGATTTTTTCCTGAATGCTGCTAAATTGAGTTCAATACATTAATTTGTACCTGTTGTTTTGGCTAATGTGGCATTTAAAAAATGAATTATCAAGCAAATAATTTTAAATTTGTTTTAAAATTAAAGGCCTTGTTCTCTGGAGTAGCCAGTGATGCAAAACAGCTGTACAACTGCTTGATTAAGACAGGTTTACAGCTGCTTTACATAATCAGAGCAATGTAAAACGGGTGGACTCTGTTAGGGAACTTGGCTTAAGAACTGTTGAAAAGTCAACTGGATGATTTTGAAATTCAAGAGTAATCACCATGATCTAGGAAGGAACTGTATTCAACTAATGCATTTATTTGCTTGGCTTCATTCAGCTAAATAATCTTGAAGCTTTTACTTCGATGTAATCTGTGTTAGGGAGTACTCTTGCCATAGTATTTTGTCTTACTTGCTTACATTTTGGGTAATTGGATCCTGTGATTTTCATGTTGTGCAAGTTAGATACCAAGTTGGAGGAATAAAACTTAAAAAAAGAATTTTAAAATTTACCCCTGAGCAAATCTCAAAGATTAAATGCAAACATATCAGGTAGGTCTAGGCTAACACAATTTTATCTGTGCAAAGATAACTCTTAATCAGTTAAGAAATTGCCACCACCACAGCACTGAGACCTGAAATCATCCTTTCTGACTGTGGGAATTTAAACTGATTTTGGAAGCATAGTTGCTAAAGTCACTTCATATAAGCAGTGGAGGGTGATGTGAATTTGAGAAGGCATTTCGGATCTTAAGGGGGCTGGCTTATACTCTGTGAATGTTTTTTTTCTCTTCCTTTGACTAACTAAATGTAGGTGAACTAAATATAGTCCTAAATTCTGTTTTTCCCCATTGTTCTTGGCAGAAAATACCTAAATCTACTGATAGATTGTTTGAACAGTTTGAGGAAAAACTACATCATTACATTTGTTTTTCCTAAGAACAATATTCCTTGTTTTAATTCTGTAATATTTGATTGAAGTCATTCAAGAGCAGACTTCTTTTTAATCTATATAGGAAACTAGTATCATATTTGACATGTGGATTGTAATGATACGATTTTCAGAGGCACTGAGCACTTAAAGCTAGGTTATCTTTGTTGAATGAAGTCTGTAATTCTTCCCTGTGTAATTTTATTAATTTTCTGTGTGTTTTCTGGCATTATCCACATTCTGAACCTGGTGCAACTGGGGGAGGTTTATGCTAGATATTAGAAAACATTTCTTCACTGAAAGAGTGATCAGGTATTGGAACAGGCTGCCCAGGGAAGTGGTGGAGTCACCATCCCTGGAGGTGTTCAAGAAACGTGTAGATGTGGTGCTTAGGGACATGGTTTAGTGAGTGAGGTGGTGTTGGGTTGGACTTGATGATCCTTGAGGTCTTTTCCAACCTTTATGATTCTGAACTGTGGAATATCTATTTGGAAGATACAATTTTGCAAACCTCTTAACATACATTCTGCCTATATCAGTACCTTGCAGGATGGGAAATGGCATTTTAGAATGCTCTAATGAAAATGATTATTGTTGATCAAAACACTTGCTTCTCCCATAGGAAAATCAAAATGGCAAGCTGGTGGAAAAACAAAGAGGGTGATTCAAGGAACACACAAGACTGCAAAACAGGTATCTGCTAATTTTTTATTTTGGTTATGACATAAAATTTCCAACATAAAAATGTTTTGTGATATCACTGTTACATTATTGGCTGAATAATACATACATAAAACTGTGCACACATATCTTTAAAGCATACAGGTTTCAAAGTCAAATATTCAGAAGTTTAAAAATGCCAGAATGTAGGTTTTATGTTCCTCAGCCTTTACTTTTGTAATTTCTTAACCTCTGGATGCATGACTTTTTGTCATTAAAGTTATTTTAAGGGAAGGTGCTGTTCAACAATAAAACGATAGAGGTTATTCTCCCTATAAGCATGCTACTTATACAAAGGGTAGCTTTATGCCCAATTTCTAATTTCAGGAAATGCTTTATTTCCTGACCTCATGTTAATGGCTGAAGAATTTTAGATTAAAATTTCAGTATATCCTATTTTGGAAGAATTAGCTCAAGTGAGTAAAATTTCTGAGAGGTATGACTGTAAAGCGAGTCTGAATGAGAATTGTCAAGAAGAAAATGCTCTTACATTAATGTTTTTTTCTATGTGAATGATAATCTTTATTACATTAATTAAGTCATACCACAATCTTTCCTCATGTTTAATATTTTTAATGGTTGCTTTTCTTTAATTAACGGATTTGGCTATTAGTATGGCTTTAGCCATTTAATGTTTTGAGACAGTCTGTCAGATTTTGATGATATGGCATATGTAGGATATTGTTTTTTGAAAAAAAAAAAAGTTCTGCTTCCACAGAGATGTATTTGTATCTTTAAAACATAGGCATGTTATTTTCCTAATTTAGTTTAGCAGCTGTTAAGCTTGTGTTCTCTCTTCACATACTAGTATGTTCCAAACACTGTGTATCCTGGTTTTTTTGTTCTGTGAAGGTGGAATTTTATTGATGTAGCTGGGGCTCCCTGTCAGGGTTTACTCTCAGAACCTTTTGGGTAAGAGTAATGTGCTACATAGTTCAGGTTCTATTTTAGTCACTTGGGATTATGTAAATAGTGAGTTTTCAGGAGAATTGTTAGAATTCAGGAGATTGTTATTCAGTGTCTCTGTGTGTGATTGCTATACTAGAACTGTATTGTAGAAACATAGTGCATTCCTAGTGGGTACAATGAAGGTTTGAAATGGACTGCCGAGTGTGCGTGCATGCTGGCACTTCAATTTGGCATTAAGCACCTTTATTTCTATGAGTTTCAGACACTGGATACTGCTGTAAATTAGTGGCTTTTTGTTACTTTTCTTGGCCTTCAGCTCTGATTTTCCTCTACATATAAATGGGCCACTAATCTCAAGAAAATAAACTTACAAGAACTCTTTCATATGATCTTATCAACCTCATCTTCCTCTCAGTAGAGTGCTGGCAAATACCCATTCAATCAATTTTGGCATCCTGAGAATAAATATACACTTCATACTTTCCAGAACTCCAAGGCAAGTTACTGAAACTGTTTTGGGAAAAAAAAAAAAAAAAAAAGAGAGAGATTCAGTTGTAATGTCACTTTCATCATCCATACTGAGTTACTTGAGACATAGGAATGAATATTACTTTGCCTTTACAAAGGCACAAAAGCTTTACCTTTTCTGCAACTGCAGGTTTGAACTGTCACTACAAGTGAAATAGTATGAACTAGCCCCTCTGAATCTTTGCCATTCTTGGGTGGGTTTTGGTCTAGTGAGGACAAGCTTCAGTGTTAGGCCTGCTAGGTCATGTCTACATAAACCATCATCACACTTTGGGTAAACATGCAGGTTATTTGAGGGCAGGGGGGATGCCAAAGCAAGCTATTTTTTAGTGTTTTAAACACTGATTGGTTTTTTTGTAATGCACGATGGTCTGCAAAGTTGTTGAACATGAATTAAATTTTGTATAAGTGTGTTGTCAAAGGCTAAGAGATCTGAGATCACTTAGGAGATTCAAAAGTAAGTACTTATATCCAGTTAAGAATGATGCGTAGAAGTTTGCAGGATTGGAGCTTTAGAACTCTGCTCAGAAAAACTAAATTCTGTAACCTTGTGCTTCAACTACTCACCAGTGTGAAAAATCTGCTAAGAGTTAGTTGGAAGCACTAGGGACAAGGATGTAGGTGGACTTTATGTGTCTTGGGTATAGCTCCATCTTGGTGAAGATGTGGGATCATGGCCATATCTTTCTTCAGACTACATTGTTAGAAATATTTTGTCCTGTGCCCATATGTTCCCTCCGAATACCAGAGAAATCAAGAGATGATCGTCTCTGGAAATTGAGTTTCGCTGTTGCAGACTAAGCATGACACTGAAAAATACGATCTGGTCAAAAGTACATACTTTTAATAAATACTGTTTAAAACTTAATTCCAGCGAGGATGAATGTGAACAATCATGCTATAGCCATACATCAGCACAGAAACTAAAGTCTTGAACAGTCTGTACCTAATCCAGCATTTCCTGCTTTTCACAGTGAAAAGTTAGATTTATTAGACAATTTACCTAAGATGCTTACGGGTAAAGATTCTGCTGAACAATATACAGATTAACTCAGTAATTCTGGTAATTTTTTGGTGCTAGTGTTAAACATCTGTACAGAATATCACGGTCTGTGTAAAATAGTAGTATCTTGATACTAAAAGCAGTCTTTTCTGAAACTCTTTCATTTGAGTACTGGCTTTCATTTCAGTAAAGTTGGTGCCAGTCAATCGATTTTCATCAAGTTTGAAACTAGCTTGCTGAGTTTGGTCTTTTTTCATGGAATTTCTGGAGACTAAAGTGCCAAACATGGGACACGATTTGGGTTCTTCTCTGAAAATTGGCGTCTGTTTCCTTGAGTGGCAGATGCTGTTGTCTCACAAACTGAGTTCATTGCCCAGTGTGCAATAAGCCAATAAACACACAGACCCAAGATAAGTGTTTTTATTTCAATATTGCACAATGTCAGGTGCTAGGACAGTCATCCTAATCTCGACAGAGAGTACATAGTTGTTACATTAGCTTTAATTTAACTTGCAACAATACCAGGCTGTGTCAAATTCAGATGTATGGTGTTGGAACTGACTTGTATCAGGAACTTAAAATATTATTTCTGTGAACTAACTGCCAACTTAATGCTTACCTGCTTGTGTGATTGTGCTTAGAAGAAATTTGGTAGTTTAGGGATTTGTATCCTTTCAAAGATATTCTACTAAAATATGAGTAATTGTAAATATTGCTTAGGTTTTACTTAGACACTGGATATCTGCTTACAGGGGTAATAAAGGAACTGGTACAACTTACAATAGTTAACACAGTTCACTGTGCTGTTTTCCTAATTAAAATATGGCTGACATATGAGAGAGATGATAAATGGATGCCAAATATAGTAGATGGATAACATTTATTGCTAAGTAACAAAACATATTCCATGACGGTATCTTAAAGATACATTTGAAAATCAGTCTTTCAAATAGTGGGAATTATGCCTGGTTCCCATTCCACAACAACTCATCCTTTATATCAACAATACCAGCTGAATAAGTAAGGTCACATTTTATAAATACGTGCAGCAAAAGGTAACACTGTTATTTTAACATAGCTATTTATGATTCTGTAGTTAAGATTGTGTCATTATAAACTGTGTTTTAGAGGAGCTGTAAATTAGCCAGTATAATCTTTGCTTTAAGGGTTTGTATACAAGGCCTTAGCTGAGGAGCATCTTTTCTCCAAGCTGTTCTTTAAGAGGTGACTCTTATAGAAGAAAAAATACTAAATACGCTGACATATGAAACCCTTCTGAAATTTCTGTTCAGTGGTTGTTCATGATATGCATCTTTTCTGAATACGTCTCTCGTGAATACATTAGCTGTGGTTCATCTGGAGTACACTTGGAGCATTTTGAGATATATGCGAGGGTAGCAGAAATGTTAGTATGGTTGTAGTAAATCAGGTTCCTATTCTTCCCCTTCTTACAGAAAAATTAGTATCTGAACACAAACTCAGGTGAGAGCATAGCCATTTTGACAGCAATGTGTCTGCCTCCCTAATTGCAATGCGGAATTTGCTGTGTGTGATGCTGGGTGGTACGGGTAGTCAGAGTGCTGGGGGGAATGAGCAGACGGGAACCTAGAGAGAGAGGCTACCCAAGAAACAGAGCTCTGGAATTTACTAAATAGTTTTGCAGATTCTGTCTTTGTGTTAGGGTTCACTTCCCTTGTAATTGGAAGCTGTGTTTTTGGTGTGAATTTGTCAAATAAGGCCCTGAAAATCTAGAGAAGAAAGGCATTTATATTCTTAAATACAGTGATTGAAAAATCATTTGGTTATTGCCTACTTTCCCATTCTGTAATTTGAACATGAGAAATAGGAGTAAATTTATGTGTTTCCTAAACATGCAGGGAACTTTCTGTACCTTAGGCACAATTTGTTGGAATTCAAGAGGAATCCACACAAAACAAAGATCCTCTTAAAGGAGAATGAGGAAAATTTTCTCTAGACTTTGTACAATCTTTGGGTCTCTATATATTTGATCATATAAATATTACAGCTCTTCCTTAAAAGTACTTTTCGTTGGTAAGTGCATCCAGAACTATGCTATGAGTGACTAAGCTGAATGCGCAAGGTCAACAGATACATAACATTGAGATGGCATAACGGTACTTCTGAGCAGGTACGTAGTGACTCCTGCGTGTGCCAGCGTTTGTGAAGACGGGAATGTTCTCCCTTTGCTCCCATCACATTTAGCCTATTGGCAGTTCTCTGCATCTGTGCAGCAGAGTAGTACTAGGTCAATTAGCCTGAATATTAATGCTAAAAATCAAAGTGCAGATTTGTTGTAGTTAGAGCTGTTAAATTACAACTTGAAACAGCGTGAGGACACTTTCAGACTTGGTGTAAGTAGGGGGAACATAATTCATTGTCACAGTACTTATGAATTGAGCTTGCAATGTTCACAATATGGTGAGTGGAAATCTTAATAAAAGTAGTCTAAAATGTGACAGGTTCTTTTTGTAAGCAGTTCAGTGCTTGCTGGCATCTGCAGTGTAGCCATAACATATTGATCAAAGGGCTGGCCACGTCAGCATTTCACTGACATTAGTGCTCCTATATTAGAATGAGAGCTTGAAAACAATAAAGTTCTATGTAATATCTTGCTGGTACAATTTATCTGTGAGGAAGTGTTGCTGATGTGATGATTAGTAGAACGTTATTTTCATCTCTGGATGCACATATGTGTCACAATAAGTAATACAGGTTATATAATTAGGAAATGTAACTTTCCAATGTGCTATGAGGCAGAATATCTTGTACTGTCATGCAACATGAATGTTGGGTTATAAATGTTAAAGAAACAGAATCTAGTTTTACATGGCTGCTGCATCTATTTAAGATAAGTGTGTTTTTAAAAATCTCAAGTCAATGGGATGATGTAGTGAAAAATTTCTTGTTCACAAATGTTTGAACATGTTGAAAAAATTTGTGTTGCACAGAAGCCCAACATGTTACCACAGTTCTGTTTGGTTTTTTTCTTTTCCATTGTATCTTGTTTTTTCAGAACACTACTATGGATTGTAAATTAACAGCAGCAGCAGCTGGAGATAAAAACTTTGACAAAAGCCCAACAAAAGCAAGACAGCCTCGAAAAGTTGATCTGCGAGCTCGATACTGGGCATTTCTTTTTGACAATCTTAGACGGGCAGTTGATGAAATCTATGTTACGTGTGAATCGGATCAGAGTGTAGTAGAATGCAAGGTAAGTCTTCATCTGTTCTCTACCTCTTGTCACATGGCTCTTGTCTTATTCTTTACAAAAAACCCAGTGAGGAATTAGAGCCTCAGAAACATGTTACTTTTTGATTTGTATTTAGTGAAGGCCTGTAAATAGGAAACTGATGGCATATTTATTCAGATGTAGGAAGATGCTTTCATCTTAGGCAGTGACAAATTTTGGAGTGTAAAAAACTTGTAGTGATGTACATAATGTTATTACATCTTAGGTTTTTGATTAAATAATTTTTTGTATATTGAGTTCTGGTTTTGCTAATTTCCTGACTGAATATCGATTTATTTTTTTCGCTGTAATGTTCTTTACTGTAGGTGGCACTGTTGTGATTCAGCCTTTTTCACATTTGTTTGCTTCCTGTTAAGTGGCTTAATTTTACATTGCTCCCTTTTTGCAGTGCTGGTTACTATCACACTTCTAATTTTCTCTGTGGTGTTAAGAAGGTGATTGGTGGTCAAGCATAAACAATGTCTAGTTGGGATGTCACTGTAAGGCATGCTTCCTAATTTTGAGTAATCTGTGTTTGTAGTAAAATGCAAAACAAATGCACAAGCTACGGTGATTTTCTAGTAGATCCATAGAAAGACCATTGTCATTTAATAAAAATCACTCATTCTTCAGAAATGGAATTTATTGCGAACGTTAAGAGAAGATGGAAGAATAAATTTTAAAAGAAATGTTAAAGATACAACTTATGTTTTCATATTAAACATGGCTGAAAACTCAACACATTCTGGAAACGATTATGTCATCACTGTAAAAAATTACATATATCAATGTAAGTTAACTTTTTTCTTATCATATGCATCTGGTTCTCTGCTGTAATCAGACACAGCCAAATTGACTTTGAGATTAGCGTACAAATATATTTCATTGAAAGCAGGTTTGAAAACTGAACAGTAGCTATGGGCTTCCAAATCACTGGTTGGTCTAACACAATTTAACATTTTGATACAGACCTGCCTTCCTGCTCGGGAAACTTCTCTGGAGAATTTTTTGGTTTAAGAAAATCAGTCAGCCTTGCATTGTAATTAGATTACTGCTTTAAACTTTTGTGACTGAAAGAACAGAAGTGTATTTGTGTCATTATCAAGTTTTTTGGGGTTAGATATCATTCAGCATTTTAGTTGTGCTACCTGATCTGTTCTCGGATGGAGATATTACTGTTAGTCTAAGTGAAAAGTCTTCATTTCAATAGACGCTTGACAATGATGTATGTATCTGTGTGTATCAGATTACTTGTTTGCAAATAGGGTTGGAAAAAAACAAAAATGAGTAAACAAGGGAGTCCAGTGTCCTGTGTTGTAAGACTTATGTAAACATTCATGTTGCTTTTACCTTTTAGAAGATCTTTTATTCTCAGCGCATAAAAGTACCTTACCTGAGTAGCTGGAATATGCATTTGTTCTGTGGTCTTTTGTTTGTGAGGTTTTCTTTTAAAGGTTACTGTTAAATGATGATTATTACTTTTTGATAAATTACTAACATTTCTGTTAATTAAGCTATGAAGTATAGAACTGTTGAGTCTTGCAAATTATTTTTACTAATAAGGTTTCACTTCTATCAGTTCTCTTGGTTGTCATTATTTAGTTTGGGGTGGTTATTGTTGACAGATACAGTCCAGTTTCCAGCAGAGGTGAAGTTGTCAATGTGCTCTAGCCAGTTGCTTACAGGAGAGTATCTTAACTGCTGTCTTTTGAAGTGAGTGCTTTTCATAACTCTTAATAAATAGGCTTATGACATTTTTGGTACTACATACATAGGCTTCAACTAGAGAGAGATCAAACTCATCATTAGTGTTGGAGGTATGTTGTAATTTTGGACAGAATATTAGTGATAATGAAGAGCAGATCCTTCTGGAAGCTGCAAGTCTTCCGCACCTCTGATCGTGAAAAGCCAGTGCTTACTGTCCTTCATCAGCTGACATATCTTGTCAAAGTGGAGCTTTCATATTATGCAATATGTAGCAAGCATTTACTGTAGTACCTCACCCTTTTAGGAGTTCATAGGTTAAAATCGATCTTGTCTGAGAGTTCAGTTGGCAAACAATATTTATTAAGAAGCATTTGTGTGACGTTTCAAGAATTTACGTAGCTTAGTGGAAGGCCTGTGTACTGCCTTAAAAATAGCTTTGTCTTTAGTTTGATCGTTGCAGTTTGTCTCATTACAGTGTGACTCAGTTCAGGTAAATAATCATCATTTGTTTACCTGAAGCACCTACTTGTTTTACTGACTTGGCTTTGGCAGGCCTATATACGTTGCTGTCATGTTTCTCCCAAGCACCAAGTTTCACACTTTGTATTGACTGTTCTGATTGTGCCTGGTCAGATCTTGCACAAACTCTGGTCTTGCGTTTTCTTGCTACTTGGAAACATGAAAGCAATGAACACAGTCTAGATTCCCTGTTCTGCATCAGCGTGGGTGTCCAGTGTTGGAGGAAGGGTGGCTGTAGCAAGGTTCTGTGTGTAATTTCAGGGATAGCTCCAACCACTTCAATGTGCAGGACTAGGAGGTTGCAAAGTGATTTTATGTGCGGTCTGGTGAGGTATCTCCCCAAGTCTGCTATCGTGGGCAGAATACCAATAATGCAGACATGGCGTGGTAAGATATGTTAAGCTTCGTTGGTAGGAAAATAGTATCGATAATCCTTTTCTTAGGCTTTTGGACTTAGGAAGGCAGGTTTAATGCAGTCATACCTTGTGTCTTGTCTGTCCTTGTATATCCAAGGTTTTTCTCTCATCCCTGCCATAATTTTCTATATCAGTGGGCCAATTTAAATTAATTTAGTCAATTTAGATTTCATGAGAGTAGGTGAGTAGCTTGGAAGAAGACATCCTGTTAAGGTTCACATTGCAGAAGAAAATGCCACTCAATCTTTATGAGACACCAGGGAATTCAGAGAGAGAACAAGAGAATGTGAATTCACCAACTGAGGGAAGGGGGATTGTGTGTGTGGTTGGTTTTTGTTTGGTTTTGGTTTTTTTTTTTTAGTAAGGGTTAATGGAAGTGGTGCATGTCATTATGTCATTTCTGGTACCAGAAAAACCAGTAAGGAGATAATGGGAAAACAGTTGGCAGAAACACTTACACTTTTTCATTAGTGGTATTTTTTTCCCCCCTCTTTGGAGAGTTGTTGTTCAGCTGCTTCTTACTCTTTTTCCGTTTTTACGTACAGCAGTACTGGTTTCTGACTATTTTAATTTTAAGATGAACATTCCATTTATAATAAACTTTTACTGAATTTCATGCTAAAAATGAGAATGCTTAGCTTCACCTTTATGCTGTTTTTTGCAAACTTTATACTACATGGAAAAGTATCTAGTGGTTAAAATATTACAAGAGATACTAACAGACACATCAGCTCAGTTGAAAAAGGATTAATGTATTTCTGCTATACCTAAAAATTTGAGATGGTTTTGATAAATGAGAATTTCATATTGCCACATTTTTCTGCTTACTTTTTAGACTCATTTGACAGAATATCTTGTTAGCTCTTCTCATGAAGTACCATTTTTATTTTTATTGCTGGGCATATGTGGGAAACAGTTTTAAATAAGGATCCAACTGTTAACTTTTCCTTCTTTTCTTTTTTAAGGGGGATTTTGAAAAATCCTTTTTATTAAGATAAATCCATGTTACCAAAAACTTCCTTAATCCTTATTTCAGCTTTTTAAGTGGTATCTCCCCAAACTTATGTCTTGGCCAAATGAATATGTGCTGTTCTATTTAAACGTTTTAGTTGTTTAAAGAGCATATTAAAACAAGACCTGTGTAAAAATGAAATGTGACAACTTCTGGTATTTAAAACCTTCAGATTAATCTGGTGTAAAAGTTTCTTTTTCATTTTGCACCTTTTGCTCTCTTGTAGTCTTACAAGTTAGTATAGTTTTATTGATTACGTTGTCACTGAAGATAATGTTTGATGCTCCCAAATGGGAAAGGGCTCTAGTGGCTGGTTGTGGTTGAAACTGCAGACTAAAGGGTTGTGGTAAGGATACAAACAGTGGAAATGTGTGTAAGAGGATCAGTGGTTGTGTATATTTTCTCTCAGCTTTGGGCACTGCTGAAGCTGGCATTTTGCTATTGATTTGGAAATGAGAACGCTCAAATCATGTACATAGATACATAGATATGGCTTTGATGCTTTGTATGTAAAGATATAATGGACATGGTTGAATTAGTTCTGAAATAAGTAAAGGATTCTCAAGTTTAAGCATCATCTTGCTGTACACAAATCAGTTTGTGCAATAGTGATTGAGATTAGATACAGTCTAATAGATTTGGCTATAACCTTCAACGTTTTAAAATGCAAATTTTATGGATATTCATCAGCTAGGTTTCTGTGTGTCTAATGTTTACATTAATGTTTTTTTTTATGTAGTAATTTCTAGTTTTGGATGGTGAGCTTAGGCAGAAAAGAATTAGTAATGCATTTAAATCTCCTTCTGTATGCTAAAAGGAATTAAGCCCCAAATTTTTTGTGGATGGAGGAAGGCAGATTTTGTAGCCAGTTTTGGCCAATGGAATTTTGGTTAATGCAAAAGAGAAATGCGTCTTCTGCTGCTATTGTTTTATGGTCTTCAGGTGTCTCAGCAGCTGAGTTTATATATATTTGTGTGTGTATGTGTGTATATATATAAAAAATAAAAAAAACCCCACACCACATACTTACATAAAACTCTTATTGATAGAGTTTGAGCAACTGGATCCAGCAGCTAAGGCTACAGTAAGTCTAGAAGAATCTCAAACTACTTTAAATTTAATTGCTGGGTTTTTTTCCTCTGAGGGTGAATGAATGGCTTCAGCTGTTTTTTTTCTCCTTTAAAAAATCCTGAATTTTATGATGTGAAAATTTAGTTCTATATTCCTTTTAAATTGCTGTCTAGCACTACTTAATGCTTGTACAAACGTATATTTCCACCTATCATTACTTATTGATATATTTCTAGAAGGGTTTGGCAAGAGTAGTTTCTGTCTTTGTTTCTAATGCTTACAGATAAGTTGTTCAGTCTACCTTGAGCGTAGTTCAGTGAAAA